CGACGCAATACAACAAATAAATTATTTGCTGGTCATCCTGGGGGGGGGCGACGCAATACAACAAATAAATTATTTGCTGGTCATCATGGGTAATAGGGATTAGTAAGAGATTTTTCGATTTTCAGCACCGTTTTAAACATTCAGCAATTAATCTACGACATTTTCTTGATAGACGTAATCATTTCGTATTTTAACAACACTTAGAAATTATTAAAACGTGTATTTCACGTAGATCTCGTGGTCTATAATTCTTACGAAAATAAATTAAAAGTTATTTTTATTTTCCTTTTTTTTTATTTTCAAATCCGATTATCAAATTTCAAGAAAAAAAAAATTCTAATTTCGTAAAGAAATGATGCTGTAATTGTAACCTATGCGGAACAAATGTAAAGTAATTTCTATCTTAAATTATGTAAAGTCTGTACACTTTTTTTTAAAAAACTGAGAACTTACATTGTGATAATACATTCCATTGCATAATACGAATAGATTCCGGGTCACGTGGTTTCACACCGTCCACTGTCGATTCTTCGGGGGCGGGAAGTCCTTGTAGATAATGAAATGAACGTTTAATTTGTAGAGGTAGATGTGATAACTCTTCTTTACACTTCAGCATCAACTCTTCCCGGGTAACTTTTTCTCTTATATCCAAATCACTGTCCGCCCTGTCTTCGTTCAGGATCTTTGGAGTCGAAGTAAAACTACCCATCCTGTAATACATCAAGGGTTAACACCAATCATTGAAAGTTGTGTGGAATTCAATGCGTCGTAACTGTAAGTGATACGAACGAAAAATAAGTTGTACTGACACACACTTCAACCTGACTTAAAGTAACTTTGTGGAACATGTTGTAACACACTTAAACCTAACGTCAAGAAATTTATTAATATATATTACAACACACTTCAACCTACCGTATTTTGTTGGTACACATACTTAAACCTAACGTAAAGTAACTTGTTGTATATGTCTTAGCATACTTAAACCTAATAGACAGTAAATTATCAGTATATGTTTTGATACAGTTGAATCTTAAGTAAAATCAATATATATTCTGACTCAGAGTTTGTTTATATACAAAGGTATTGATATATGTTTTCTACTGAATTTAATCTAACGTAAGTAAATTGTAAACGTACACTGACGCAGGTTTTCAACTCAAAGATGCCAATTCATATTCTGACGCACATATCAAACTAACGAAAAGACACCAACTTTTTTTCTCACACACATTTAAACCTAACGTAAAAGTGTCAAGAAATGTTCTGACACACATTTCAACTTTACTTGAAGGTGTCGATACATGCTTTAATAGTAATGCACATTTCAACCTAATGTTAATAAGTCAGTACATGTTCTGACGCAGTCTTTTACTCTAAGCAATATGAGTTGTCAAGAAACATTTTCGATTAAGTCTACTTTAGTAATTCAACAGTAAGAAACATGATAGCTGAAATGATTTATAACTTTTATTAGGACTGGCATAAAATAGAGAAAAAGTTATAAAGAACAGATAGGTATTCTAGTGTTAGCATTCCATGTTGCAGAATTAAATGCGAAACATTTATGGTTCAACCAGAAGTTTTCTGACAAAACTAACGAAATATTATTTGGGTTACAAAAAAGAAAATAACTAAAGCTCCCTGGTTGTTTTTTTTTTAAGGGTTGACTGAACTCGAATTATTCTAAATAAAACCGGTTCATAAGTCAGTGTGACGGTGAATTGAAACATAAGATACATCTGAACTCTGACTCATTCCTGGAAAGGTAAGAACGAAAATTTACTTAAATATTGACGTCACACTGACGTACTATAAGAATCTGGCAAACTGCCATTTTAAAGTTGCAAAGGAAGGGAGGACGTACACAACTGACGGATTTATAAAAAAAGAGGGAATTACCATGAAGAATCAAACGAACACTGTGACTGTTGTTGAGTTTCGCGCAAAACAACTCAAGCTTGTACAAGCTGATTAAACTACTAAAGGGTAAAATTCTTTGGTTATTACGGTGTATAGATTTATTAACAGTTATTAGTTTAATGTTCTAACTCTAAAAACAACCTTACTCATATTGTTTGTGTTTTAAGTAACAGACTATAGTATAGGGAAGAAAGCTAGTCGACACGACCCATCGCCAACTCGTGGACTACTTTAAAAACATGATGGGATTTGACCGTCACTCTTATTATGCACCCACAGCCCAAAAGTGCTGGGAGCGATGGTTTGTTTTTTATTTTTGACTAACTATTAGGACGTGCTCAGATTTACAAATGCTGATCACAAACGCTTGCACGCGCGCGCTTAATTCTGATTTTTACTGTAATATTCTGCTACAAAACTAAATAACCAGCATGACATTTTATTATCAGTACGTTAACGTGGATACTCTGCGCTTAATTCTGAATTAACTGTAATATTCTGCTACAAAACTATGAATAACCAGCATGACATTTTATTATCAGTACGTTAACGTGGATACTCTGCGCTTAATTCTGATTTAACTGTAATATTCTGCTACAAAACTATGAATAACCAGCATGACATTTTATTATCAGTACGTTAACATGGATACTCTGCGCTTAATTCTGATTTTTACTGTAATATTCTGCTACAAAACTAAGTAACCAGCATGACATTTTATTATCGCTACGTTAACGTGGATACTCCGAGTTGGATATGATATATCTATTACAAGTATTTAAATGTCTACATATTTCGGTTTAATTGAACATTAAATGACGTCATGTAATTCCGATATTTTACAGGTTTTTCTCTCTATTATTTGTTTGAAACTTACCTCCATAATTTACTCTTACTTTCTTAAAGCTACATCATTTACTATTATGCTAAAACGGGGACAAAATAAATACTACCTGACAAGATACATCAGAAGAGATTTTGTAGTCGAAATTCTTTCATCGTGCTTCAACTCGGCCATTATATGCACGTTTTATCGACAGTTATTACTTATCAGCAAATATGGTTAAGGAGACCTGTTACGACCACTTGTTGAGACTACTGACACCTAGGAGTGTTGAGAACCGGTCTCCATAAAACAGAAACTGTCGGGTTAAGTATTCTTGTCCTGCCTCTTATTGGTATCGAAGCTTGTGCAACTCTGGCATTCATGTAATTATAGTTACTTTCAACTGCAATACATTTCAATACTTTAAGTTTTCTTCGGAGTTTAAGTGAAACGCTCACACGTAAGTCAATTTTAACAAGTACAGCATTAAGTGCTGTAATCTTCCTTCTCCCAATATGCGCTAAATCCCCCTCATTTGTTTGCTTCCTAGCTTATTACACCATAGATACTACGAACTAACACTTAACAAATGATTGCAATACAGGCTAACTCAAATCTTTTAATTTAAGCCAGCCAACCAATTAAAACGTTTTCTCCTTCTTGATCTAACGTCATTGGTCAGATATACGTTTACACTTAGTTGCAAAGACAAAGGTAAGTTTTAAAATATTTTCTGAACACGAATGACCTTATTCTGATTGCCACTCCCACGCGCGTTGGCTTTTGGCGACCTTGCTCTAGATGTAATCCAATCAGAGTCCAGCTTCTAAAGTGTAATAATAAGGCCCGTAGTGTTTGGATATGAGAAGATAGTGATCTATTAAATAGTGTGTTTCCCATCATTAAACCTACATTCGTCGCGTCTGATATTCGTGGCTTCATCTGGATGCTTTTGTGGCAAAATAACTAGATAATGTTACCCTCCCAAGTTAGAAATTAAGCACAACTATCGGAAGTTATCATACCCACCATGATGCCTGTAAGTCTAATCACACTCCAGTATATCTAAATCTTAAATCCGCGTGTAGGGGCTGAAGAGAAACAAGTTTCTGAGCGCCCCAGGTTGTCTCTCAAGCTTACTGCCAAGTACATTCATTTATTAAGCCTATGTAACTTCCGGCTAAGCGACTGAAGGTAAAACTTTTTGTCGCTCTTCATAACAAATTATAAAATTATCTTTTATAAAATGACGTCTTCATTTACAAAAATTCACAATTTTATTTAGATTGTCCGATTTGGGTTCACAAAAGTTCAATAATCACTTCATAAATATCTACACGACAATTAATTTAAAGAGTTCCATATTACTAGACTTTGATTAATTTTTAATAATTTTCAAATTTAGTGCTAAAACTATACATAAATGGGTTCAAAGATGTTTATTTCAGTAGTATTGTGAAGCATAGCTTTCGTCTGTAGTTCGTAAAATCAGTATCTAACCTATATATAAACCAATGTATGTCACGTCACGCCTGATTTCTCGAAATAGGAGTCAAAAAAGCCAAAATCCATTTATCCAGATAGAATTGTTCGATTACTCTCTGCTCATTATGATTTTAGTGACGGGAGTACAAGGTGGCCGTGAGGGGTGTGTGTGTGGCGTGAAACCTTATAAGTGTAGTGAGTGTTGGCATAATAAGCTGTAGTGTGGGATCACCTAGCCTGGAGCCAAGTGCATAAAAGTTATCATGAATTTTAAACTTAAATCGTTTTTGAATTAAGCTATTTTCTGTCATATCATCAGCGTTTTTAATAATAAATAAACAAACCTCTTTAATCAACGGAGAAATATTAAGAAATCAAATATTTTTTCCAATTTTGTTGTCCATATATATTTAATTTTATACTTTCAGTACAACAATATTAGTAATAAAATAATTGTGTATGGGATGACATAATAAAATGCAAAATATATTATAAAGTAGTGGTGAAATACTCGCCAAATTAAAATATCTTTATTCATAAAACAAGGAAATGACGTTACGAGCAACAGTCCTTCATCAAGTTACCAGTGACAACGAAACTGTTAACATAAGATTTAGGTTGAAAGAACAAATAACACGTAGCTCGAAGGCTTGAGAACATGTTCCTGAAGCTACAAATGATATAAGGGAAGTAACATAAATAAATAATATGTTTGTTTTTGTTTTTAATTATGCACAAAGCTACACAAGGGCCGTCTGTGCTCTGCCCACCATGGGTATCGAAACCCGGTTTCTAGCGTTGTAAGTCCGCAGACATACCGCCGTGCCACTGGGGGGTTAAATAATATGTCAGAAATTTAAAAATATAATCTTCTTTTTCGCTAATTTTCAAAATAAAAGGCTTTTATTTGTATTTCTTAAATATATTATATATTGTTGTTGGGCTTAGGATTCTACTGAAGTAGGTGTCTGACTTGTTGGCAATAAACTCAACGATAAATAAACAGCACGCATTTCACTTGTTTTCAAAATAATATATATATTCGTATGTACAACAAAGTCTTCACACTACAGAGATTATAGGCATATCATAAACACTATATATGTTGTAACGAATTTGTTATTATTTATCTTAATATCGACGTTGTTTAGATTAAGTTTATATTTAGGAACATGCATAGCTTGTAGTGTTAAATATACTCAAAAGTTATAGAATATTCTCGAGTGTAAGAATCAACAATATATGTGTATACGTAAACGCAAGTGTAGTTTTGTACTGTTACGTAATCTGAATTTTCGAGAAACTCTCCACACGCTTATAAATATTACCAACGCAACGTGACCAAAAAAAACAAAAACAGTATCTACTATTGGTTTGCTATACACTTCGCAGGCTATAATTGTGATTGTTATAACGCTT